AAACATGCTCGCCCTTTCAGCCGTGGGTGCGTTATAATGTGACGGTCAATCCCACTATTCTTTGGTAAAAGAGTAGGCCAAGAGCTGCCTTCCCTCTAGTCTTACACTGCTAAATCAGGGACGGTTAGCGCAGATAGCCTTCGTGTAGTTTTGCGCGGAATTCAAAACAAACAAACAAATCAAAAAGGAATCTTCTTATGTTCCGGAACTTGGTCTGCTTCATTTAATAAAATAGTCATAACACTCTGTAGTGAATGAATCATCATTTTAGTGCCCATTTCGGTGCTTCAACAATAGTAGAATGTGCTTCAGAAGAGACGTGTGTAGTTAAAACTTCTATGCTAACTAGATTATTCCTTCTTCAGCTGTGGCTTGATTGGTTGAATACACTTAGTGTAACTATCTAAGTGGAAAGTAGTAGTTGTTTCTTGTTCGCTGTCAAGTCCAATGTCAGTATCACGTGCTTTTTGGGTGACGTTAAGCATTAGTTAACTTGTCTTCTGAGATTAATTGGATTTCGAAATGTTATGGCTCGCTTACTTGGATTCAAATATGCAATGCGCTTGACCAATCAGATCGCTTAACGCAATTAGCGTTGGTAATTGCCTAACCGGTATTTCAATTTTCATTTGATGCTCGGCAGTTTGGCACGTGCTTACTGTCAAGTTGGATGGGTCACCGAAAGCCGAAGTACCGTATCTTAGGCCTCGGAAGCAAAATAATTGTTTCTTCATTTTTCGTTCTATTTTTTCACACCTTACGATGTCTAAAGAAAGGAGACTGTCATACACAGCTAAATTTAAATTAAGTGTGATTAACTATGCAAAAGAGCATGGAAACAGAGCTGTCGAAAGATATTCTGGTCCTCCACCAACAGGAAAAACGATTCGTTGCGCGAACAACAAGAAGAATTGAAAGTGATTAAAAGAGATAAACGAAATTTCCGAGGAAAAAAAAACAAAATGGCAAGATCTCGAAAATAAACTGTACGAATGGGTTGTGGATCAGAGAAGGCAAGGACTATAGGTTTCTACGAATATGATAATTTTTAAATCAAATAGGATTGCATGTGATAATAGTTTAGAATATTTTACTGGTGATACATCGTGGTGTTATCGGTTCATGAAACGCAAAGGCCTAGTTATGAGAACTAAAACGAAAATTGCTCAAAGAATGCCCGATGAGTTTGAGATGAAAATTTGTGCTTTTTACAAGTATATTATACAGTTAAAAAAAAACTCCATTTGAATTGTCTCAAATAGTAAACATGGATGAAAAACCTTTAACATTTGATGTTCCAAGCAATAGAACAACTGATATAAAAGGTATTAAAACTATTACTGTTAAGACTACTGGACACTAAAAAACGCATTATACAGTGGTGCTAGCATGTTGTGCAGATGGAACAAAATTACCACCAATGTTAATTTTTAAAAGAAAAAACAATGCCCAAAGAAAATTTACCCAGCGGTGTCTACGTTCACGTACATGAAAAAGGATGGATGGATGAAGACGGAACACTACTTTGGTTTGAAAAAATTTGGTTGAAACATCCAGGAGGCTTATTAAAAAAGCCTTTTCTCTTCCTCTGAGATTCCTTTAGAGCTCATAAAATGGAAAAAATAAAGAGAAAAGCTAATGAGCTAAAAACACAGCTGGCTGTTATACCCGGCGGTTTAAAAAGTTAACTGCAACCTCTCGATGTTTCTATTAACAAACCCTTTAAGACTTTAATGAGAGAGGAATGGAACAACTGGATGCAGCAGGAAGATTTTGCTACGACCCCTAAAAGACGAAGGAAGAGACCGACGCTTACTCAGGTCTGCATGTGGGTTAAGAATTCGTGGGAAAAAGTAAGAAGTGATATGTTGATTAAGTCATTTAAGAAATGTGGTATCAGTAACGCAATGGATGGGACCGAGGATGACATTCTCTTTGACCATAGTATTGGATCCAATGATTCATTTCCAAGCGACAGTGAAAGCAATGAAGATCTTTTAGGTTTTGAACCAAACTAAACAACAGTAAACCCTTTTTGATTTACGGTATTTTCTTATTTTTGATGTTTTGAGCTATTTTGTGTTTAGAACAATATATACTAATTTTTAAAGTATCAACTTGAATTTTTGTTCAATTAAAATCTTTCAAATGCGACTGTAGCTTTTTTCCCCAAAAACTTTGTCTTCAAAATAAGGGTGCGTCTTATATTCCGAAAAATACGGTACGTGAGATAAAATTATTTCTTGAAATATGAGTTTGAGAGATCCGTTGATTTTCACATGGCTGTTATTTATCCAAAAAGTAAAAAGATTTAAATTATTGCATCTTCTCATTTTTTTAAATAAATTTTGTTTTCACCCGAATCTAATATGATTATCAGTTTTTTTTAACTCCAGAGGAAGCTGAATTCCTATATCGTAAAAGTAACTTTACTTTGTTTCCCGTTGGGACAGCGGTAAGTTTACGAATTTACAATGCCAAAATTCGGGGTTCGACTCCTTGCGGTGGACACAACAGATAGCGCAATGAGGCTTTGCTCTAAAAGAAATAAACAACAAAACTTTACTTCAGAGATCTCGCCTGAATAAAGCACGACCATAACTTTTTTTTCTACAATGGAGAATTAACCACGCCCACTATTTATTACTTCTATTATCGCCAGAACGACACAAAAGTTTTTAATGTACTTTCTTATGCTTGCCCAAGTACTACTGAAGTCAGTGTTGAGACACACCCACGTGATTCTTTAGCTATGCGCGGAAATTACACGTGGTGCTAGTACAAGACGAACATTGTAAATTATGGGTTTTCGTGCACGAGCGTTTGTTGTTCTTGATCATAGACATTAGTTTTAACTGGACCAGATCAATAGAAAGTTTTTACTTTGGAATAATAATTTAAACTATTTAATAATACAGTATATATTATGTATATTTTTGTAACGATTGTTTGTTTGAGTAGTTGGTTGTTTCGCGTTTGTTGACGCAAAACAACTAGGCTATCTACGCCTTTTGTAACGGGAGTTTGAAACTTTGTGTACATTTTTGAGTTCATTCCTTATCATTCTATGGCAAGTACTGGTGCAAGTCAAATGCTTACTAGTTATTCAATCTAACTGTGAAAACGAAATAATTGTTAATCATGGCATCGGTTATAATTGTATATATATATATCGTTCTAACGATGTTCTTTCGTTGGCGGGTTCTTTTAAATTATCTGGTGAAAATAAGTTTATTTCCTCCTTAACGTTTACGCGCTGGATTATACACTTTGAACTTGTAAACCATAGGCCTAAGTAAATTTACGAATAACGTTTAAACGGAAATACCTCATGGCTGATCGTTCAAATAACTTTAAACAAAACACTCCCTATCCTTCACTCATTTACTCTCCAAACGTACTTAGCCAATTTGACTGGCTCATCCATATTTATAATCTTATCCTGGTTCTAGATATTGCGCAAATCCTCTAGGTTTTCGTGACGTCAATTTAGAGTATTCTTGGTTTACTCTCACAAATTTAAATAATCTAACGTCATGCACCATCTGGCTAACACCTAAATTACAACAGAAATATAGTTCATAAGAACCGATATCATATATCTTAATACAAACTTTAAAAATAATAATGGTCTTTGGTTTTTCTTTTGTTACGAAGGTGTGAGAATATAAATAGGCATTAATACTTTTTTGTATTTGTATATTCCAGACATTCCAACAAGCGTGCAATGTGAAGTATCACTGCGTAGCTTTGGCGCTGTTAATCCTGAAACCATGGTAACGTATGATATTTATTGACCTGTAGTTTTGCACTTGTTTCCAGGCTACTTATTTGTTATTCATGGAGAGTATTAAACCATGTAAAATATCCTTAAAACAATTTTGATGGTAGACGAAGTTAAGAGTTTCAGTATTTGTTGATTTATAAACTGAAATACGAAAACAAGAAAAACAGAATAATTCAGTCATTTATAAACTGAATGAAGTTCGAAAACAACAAAAAATGAAACAATCCAGTCATTTATAAACTGAAGTACGACAACAACAAAAACAGAACAATCCAGTCATTTATAGACTGAAGTACGAAAATAACAAAACAGAACAATCCAGTAATTTATAAACTGAAGTACGAAAACAAGAAAAACAGAATAATCCAGTTGTTTTCGCACTTCAGTTTATAAATGACTGGATTGTTCTGTTTTTGTTTTCGCACTTCAGTTTATAAATGACTGGATTGTTCTGTTTTTGTTGTTGTCATACTTCAGTTTATAAATGACTGGATTGTTCTGTTTTTGTTGTTTTCGTACTTCAGTTTATAAATGACTGGATTGTTCTGTTTTTGTTGTTTTCGTACTTCAGTTTATAAATGAGAAAAACAGAACAATTCAGTCATTTATAAACTGAAGTACGAAAACAACCCAATTATTTAAAATATGAAGTGCGAAAACAAGAAAAACAGAACAATCCAGTCATTTATAACCTGAAGTGGAAAACAACAAAAACAGAACAATCCAGTCTTTTCGAAATGGTGTTTTTAAGTGTTTTACACTAACAAAAAAGAAACCTATCATTCTATAGGTATTTGAAGAACTTGTAGCATCCCGCTACAATTTAATTCTTCGTATTTTTAGCCGACAGCAGCTGATACATAGTTGAACAAAGTTGTTTAAACATTTTTTTTCTGATGAGGAGTGGAATTCACAGAAACTAATCTGGCCCACAGACACACCCTCAAAGAAAGAATAGACCATTCCAAGCTTTTACCTGTTGTTAAACAAATGTTTAAACAACGCTGTTCAATCCAGTCATTTATAAACTGAAGTACGAAAGCAACAAAAACAGATCAATCCAGTCATTTATGTACTTTTTGTAAAGAATAAGTTCACCAGTCTTATATGTTAACATTTAGGATTATGAAGTTGATCTTTACTTGAGACAAACATGGAGAGACGAGAGACTATTTAATCCAAATTTGACCCGCCCTCTGGATTTGAATGATCCTGGTCTTGTTAAGCGCGTATGGAGACCAGACGTCTACTTTCCAAACGCCAAACATGGAGAGTTCCAGTATGTCACAGTTCCGAACGTTCTGGTGCGGATTTATCCCGACGGCCAGATCTTCTACATGTTGAGGTAACAAATAGTTTTTACTTTGTTCAGAGCACAACTGAAAAGATTGTCCTACATATATATAAAATAACAAATAACTACCCGCCTGATGAGCCTTGGTATTCGGCCAAAGGCCTCGTCGGCACTGGATTTGGCAGTGCAATGTGTTTGACATATTATAACATATTCTCCTTTGCTTTCACTTACAGGCCCTTAGAATATCGTTGCGTCAGCGAGGTCACGTGACTAGTGTCACGCCACGTTCTAGAACTATCCCGTTCCTTCGGGAGTGCTCTAGCATGTACTAGATTGGGGGGTGGTCTGATATATATAAGATGGTCACGGCGTGACGTGACAATGTGTGTGTGTAGACAGTGAGTAATTGATCTGCAGTCAGAGAGTATTATTGAGCACGTTCGTTTTTATAGCGTTTGTTTTAGCGTGATTATTGAAATTAAGTGTATCGTAAAGTTATATTCGGAAAGAATAAACCAGTTTTATTAAGTAAGGACTTGTGTCGCTAAAGTTTCGTCGGAACGAAGTTACGGAAAGTTAATTAACAAACGGAGACGTAACAAATTGGTGTCAGAAGTGGGATAGAAATAGAAGAAGATGGAAATGAGAAGCGGAAAATCAAACTTAGCAGATTTGATGGCAGCAATACAAAAACAAGAAGAACGAGAAGAGAAATTACAACAGTTGTTAAGGAAAAAGAAAAGAAACAAGAAGAACGAGAAATT